CACACACACACACACACACACACACACACGTAAACATATACACACATCTTGTTGTACGTACGTACACCTACACGTAACTACCTAAAACTCCTACACATATTATTCACACGTGGGCCTGCATGTTCCCGCACACGAATACGCATTCATGTACGTTATAAACATACAGGCATACACTACCCTGCTTCTTTTACAATACAGTATGTCTCTTGTCTTCTTGGCTTGCTGTAAGCTACTACCCTCCTCTTTAGTTAATAGTTGCTTCTCATGCCTTTTGGGTGATTGTTTATTTCATCGTTTGGTACACCGTTAGCTCTGGGGGTACAGTTAAACTCGGATATAAGTAATATAACGAAGTCATCCGGCATGACTTTCGATTTTTTTAGTTGAATCCCAGTGTTCATTATAGCACTGTGAACCACAAGCTGAGTCACAATGTAGGATTTCCACAGACCAGCGCGCTATTCATTACGTAGATTTACATGCTATACCTAGATTAGCCTTTCATTGTCTAGTAGCGAAGTATTGGGGGGTGGAAGAGGGGGGGGGGGGTAGATATGATTGTGACGTGTCTGTATCTCTGCCGACTTCCACGCCCGAAATGCTAAGTGTTCGCCCTCCATCTACCCTTAGACACACGTACTAACAGCCACCAGACCGACCTCTTTTGACCCTGCCACATCTATGACACATCATGTCTTACGCGCGTGTTAACAAAGTACGCGTTGGCGTAAAAGAAGGCTTCTTATTTGACGCATAAGGTGTACGCCATATACTAAGCTAAGTATTAAATGATCTGACGGTGTAAGGGCAATTGATGGTCTAATGGAAAAAAGTAGATAAGAAACGTTGCTACTTCGTTGAATCCGAGTTATTTTGTTGATTTTAATAAATATTTTAAAAACATATCTCTTTTCGTTGAATCCAAGTTTTCGTTGAATCCGAGTTCGTTAAATCCAAGTTGCATTGTATTATGCTGAGCTATGGTGAGAGTGGCCCTGACTCTAATCAACAAAGGGACTCTTCTGAACTTGGGTTTTTTGGGAAATAATCTTTCTTAGATCTAAAAAAAAAAGCCTAGTTTGAGAAGATTTGAAGATTCTCAATCTACAACACAAATGAACTTGGTTCGATGATATCCAAGAGGGACGTAAGAATGGCGCAGAGGCTCCACATCTTATAAAACATACAATATCGAACATAAAATTATACCTAGACCAGAAATATGCTGATAATTCTAACTTTGAATACATCCTTTCTTTGTTCTTTGCGTGGGATGAATATTTTTAAAACTCTACCAGCAACAACTAAAAGATATTTAATTCCTTTTAATCCTTGCGTCGGGTTTCCAGATCTGTAGTGTTTCAGTTTCCGGAACAGTTATCCCGACACTTCCAAAGTTTAAGGTGGAGTGCAGGATTCGATATAGTCTGACTGGGTAAGAAAACCAGATTGACCAAAGCAGGCAAACAAATTACTGAGAGACTACAGCATACCCTATTGTGTCTCTGCCCTTCAGACAATTTTTGTTGTCAGATATAATATCCCAACAACATTCCTTGTTTCGCTAAGAAGTAATAATAATAGCAGCAGCAGCAGCAGCAGCAGCAGCAGCAGCAGTACTACTGCTACCTACTACTACTAGTAGTAATAGTAACACCAAACATTCATCAATTCAGAGGGGGTTCTCGTGGCCTAGAGGTTAAGGTGTTGGCCTCTCATTCAAAGGTCCCGGGTTCGATTC